ACTAGAAAATGTGTTGTATGTTCCTGACTTTAAGTTCAACCTAATGTCAGTCTCAAAACTAACTAGGGACTTACAATGTGGTGCTCGTTTCCTGCCCAAACTGTGTGTCTTTCAGGATCTTTACAGTGGCAGGGTGAAGGAAATTGGTAAGGAAACTGGCGGACTTTATTTGCTGAGGGGAAGAGGAACATGACAGTTAGTAGTTGCTCTTATCAGCACATTGCATAAGAATGAAGTTTCAGGGGAACTTTGGCATAGAAGATTAGGACATTCTTCATTACCAGTGATGCAACATATTGCTTTCTTGCATAATAAAGTAGACAATACAATACATAATAAGTGTTCCATTTGTCAATTGGCTAAACAATGTAGATTTGTCTTTCATGTTCGTGAGCACCTAAGTACAAAATCATTTCAACTTGTTCACATGGATATATGGGGACCTTATAAAGTTGCTACACATAATAATAAATATTACTTCCTTACAGTGGTAGATGATTACACTAGAGCAAATTGGATCATTCTAATGCAGTTGAAAAGTGAAACTATTATTTTCTTGAAGCAGTTCTTCTGTATGGTTAAGACACAGTTCAACACATGCATTAAAGTGATTAGAACAGACAATGGTAAAGAGTTTTTTAATCATCAGTGGAGTGAGTTCCTGCAGGGTCATGGAGTAATCCATCAGAGTAGCTGTGTGCACACCCCACAACAAAATGGGATGGTTGAGAGAAAACACAGGAACATCTTAGACACTGCTAGAGATAGTCGGCTGTTTATTCCCAGTTAATCAATTGAGCTATTTTCCCAATTATGAATCCTCTACTCTCTTCTTCTGCGCATGAATCTAACAGAAAGTACCAGACATTTATTTCTTGACCAATTTGGTTTGTCTAGGGTTCGAAATCCACTTGAATACGGAATACCTCCTCGTTGAGCCAATCACACAGAGTTTGTCTAGTACGATTTACCCTTCTATATGATTTATGAGCTATTATATAAGACCGAAATTTATCCTGTATACATCTAAAAAATACATAGTGACTGCGAATTTTCTTGTTAAAAAAAAAAAGTACCATATATTCCATAAAATAATTGGGTTACGCAGAATTATTAGACAAAAAATACATGATCTATCTGATTGGACAAAAAATGAGATGGAGACAGAGAGGAGGTGTCCAAATCCAAATGAGTTATTAATGTGACAGAGAGATGGGGGAGGAAACAAGAGGAGAGAATTCAAACACGAAGGCCAAAGAAGAAAAGGCGGTTTCCTTCTCCTTTCTGTTCCCATTGGACAAATCTTATCTCATCTTCTTCTTGTTTTGCCTCAGTAATGAATAAAGGAGATCTGAGGATTTCTCTCTTAAATTTCTCCCTCTTTGTTTCCTTCCTCATCCCATCATCAGTATAAATCATAAAATTAGGAATGGCCAAACATTAATAATGTTGCTGTCATGCACGTGACATATTTACTATTCCTGCTCAATTTGTTTTATCCTTACTAATATTAATACGCAGAATTCTACAACTCATTAAATACCTTAGCTTTTAAAGTCCTCATGTAAAAAGTGTCTGCATCAGATATTTCCATTACAGAAGCAATGAGACCAGCTTATAAGTAGAATTTTGACAAAAATTTACCTATTATGCGAAATATCTATAGTCGCAATTCAGTGGCAGCCGGCGAGAAAGAATACAAATCAAAGACACAAATGTTGCAAATCGTTAGAACTAAAGTCTTAGCTAGACTTAAGCCCTACCAAAAAACGTGTGGGCGATTGGCGTGTTGTTAACTTGATATACACCATTGGGACCATATATATAGCATGTTTAATTTTTTTTCCCATTTTTGCATTTATTCTGCAAGGCATTCTCTAAAAAAAAAACAAGAAAGGTATGCAATGCAGATATCTAGTTATTAAAAAGCGGGTCAATTAATTTTGTAGTTTTTTTAAGAATTTATTTTTGATTTTATGTCTTTTTCTAAGGGATTTTCATTTTTACATACAGGAGTGAAGAGATCAAAATAACAGATTTTTGCAATAATGTTTTCTTTTATTCAACTTATAAGTGGATATGGTATTGGGATCAAATAACATGAGTCGTGGGGAGCTAACAAAGCAAACCTTTGTGATGATAAATCAAATAATGAAGTGAATTACACTAAAAGAGACATAATATACTATAATATGATTTTAGTCAATTGACCTACATAAATTTACTAATATAAAAGAAAAAATTGACCGAGAGAATAAATTCTCCCCTTAAGCATAAGCAAGACTCTTTTAAGGATTACATTGTGAACGCTATTGTGTTGTGCATGAAGGATGGATCCTCAATTTATAGAAATTCACAATCTTTTCCTTCAAGAAAATGATATGTCAAATTGGAAGACATTCATATTTTGTTTAGGAAAAATAAAATCAACTATTTTATATTTTATCCTTCCTAATAGGAGATCATTTCCTCGTAATTAAAGAGTTAACTAGGAAACATGTATTAAACGAGAAGGTGATATTGGTAATCACCCACTCAAATCACTTAATTAATGATTAAATCGAGTTGGTTGAATCAAACTAATCAGGCACACTGATTTAATTAATTACAATATTTTCATAGCAAATTAGCAATATGCACGTTTAATGGTTTCACTAGTAAAACTTTTCGAATTGTTAGTATGACGATATTTATAGGTGGTCCTAGGTTATTATTTTGAAAATCTCTACAACATCAGGTGTAAAATCGGGAAAAGCTTAGTGTACGAGCATCAGGCTCAAACTAAGGTGGGTCATGAATCATATTTTTATTAAATGAAATTTTGGAGTCAACTTTAGTAAGAATTTAATTTATATATATATTGACATTATAAAATCTTATTATTTTTAATAATAAGTAATATATTAAACCGACTAAATCATGTTATTCGTTGCATGTTTTAAATTACCAAATGAGAATTACGATGTGTCAATGCACATAAGTTAACAATAAAATTGCATTCGTTTAATTTTTTTTTTCTTCAATTCATCATGGATCAGCCTTGCTATGTATTCTTAAATATTGTATGTTAGACAAGAGAGGTTGTTTATATGGTCAGCACCCCTACCTACGATTCCAGGATCGTAGGTTCGAGTAACGTACGAACACGCATTTTTTTAAAAGTTAGTCTTATAGATAATTATTTCACATTTAGTTCAATATCACATATTAGTCATTCTGCCATTTTAAAGTAAAAATAGTTATAGTATATATTTATGTTTTTCAGGTCTATCCTTACAATTTCAATTAATAAATATTAATTAAGTGAGATATTTAAGAAAAAACAAAAAGATAATTTAACTAAATATTCTTATAATTAACGATTTAAAAGTTTTTATAAGGGTATACAAGAATTTTAATAGACGGAAAATATGGATAGAAGCAGTATTTATTTTAATAAAAAACTTTGCATGTTCAAACATTTATCTACCCACCCCTACGGTAGGAAGTGGTACAGTGTGGTGGCCCTACCCACTTCATGATCTGTTTGTTCGGTTTAAGAACAAACATAGTAACATGGGCTGTGTTTCGTATGCTCAAGAATTACACAGTCACTTTTACTGCAATATATTTCTGCTACCAAATACCAATAAGAAAAAGAATCTCTTTCTTACTCCCCACATTCATATGAAGATTACATGTTCTGCCAATTTCAGTGCCACCAGTTATCTATATATATTTTTTACTTCCTTCACTCATTATTACTTACACCCTCACTACTTTTTCAAAAAGATAAAAAAATCTGAATCGTTTCAGTGGGATCCACATGAAAAAATATGATCAATTAATTAATTTAGGCCCTCTTGTTAATTTTAAAAAGTTGGATGATTCTCAAGACCTGTGTGTCTCTAGTTCGAAATTACAGACATCAGTTAGTCAAACGTTTCATTAGGTTCATTCTTCTAGTGTAGCTTACAAAACCAATTGGTGTCTTTTGTTTTAAGACAAAGGCATTGAGTTTACGAACTATTAACTGCTTTTTTCAAGTTCAATCTTTTTTCTAAATATTACTCACTGTTTCTTTAGCTGCTTTTGTTTGTTTGAAGATTTTCAGGCTCACTTCAAATCAAGTATAGTTGTTAGAAGATCTGCAAAACTAATTTTAGTAATCTTAAAAATTACTCCTCCATTCCATTCCATTTTATGTGGAAAAGTTTTAATATGCACTGAATTCAAGGAAGAAAGAAAGAATTTTAAAATTTATGATTTAAAACAAGCCATATATATTTATCTGGCTCTAAATCATCTAAGGATAAAATATAAAGTTTAAAGTGAAATTATTTTCAAAATTAGAGAGCAAAAAAGAAAATATTACCACATAAATTGAAACAAAGTGAGAAAGTATATATATATTTTTTATTATTATTTTGCAAAATTAGTTCAAACAAAGTAATTTTTTAAAGCTCGAAAACTGTAGTTTTATAAACTCTAAAACAAACATTACTTCCATCATTTACGTGGATATCTTATTATAAGATGGTCGGCAATCTGAATTTTACAATACAAAAGATTAGTAGTAGCATTATGATTTACTACTAATTTTTATAAATAGGAGAAAGAAACTAGTAGTGATTTTTATAAACAGACAACCTAACGATGCCCCCGGTACTTGCTAGCTACATAGAAATTGCACTGAATAGTGAATATAATGATTGATTTTTCTCATCACGCAAATACCTTAAAGTAAAGTACTCTCGTACTTGCATCTCTATCTTCTCTCTCAAATTTCTTGCCACTTCAAATAGTTCCCACAGGCACAGGTACCCCCACCCCTTCCCTTAAATACCCACCTTTTCTACTAAGTTTTTATATCACTTGCAAAAATCTTTAAAACCAGCTACTGATTTCTAGATGTCCATAAATCATATTTCTTTCGAAACAGTGTGGTGGACTAAGCAACAACAATATATGATGATGGACTCCTCATCCCCTTCTCATGACAACACACTACCCCAATTCTACCACCACCACCCACCCACCTCACCTGAAACTCAAACAACAACCATGTTTGACTTCAACCTTAACAACATGAGCAATAACGAAGAGGACGAGGAACAAATCACCGAAGATAAAGACCAGAACATTGAACAACGAGAAGAAGTAATCCCAAAAGAACATTTGTTCGAGAAACCACTAACACCAAGTGATGTCGGAAAGCTTAACAGGCTTGTCATCCCCAAACAACATGCTGAGAAGTATTTTCCCCTCAGCGGAAATAACAACAATAATAATGAGTCGGGTACCGAAAAGGGGTTGTTACTGGGTTTTGAGGACGAGTCGGGAAAATCATGGCGATTTCGATATTCTTACTGGAACAGTAGCCAGAGTTATGTTTTGACTAAAGGGTGGAGTCGTTTCGTGAAGGAAAAAAGACTTGACGCCGGTGATATTGTTTTGTTCGAGCGCCACCGGTTTGACGGTGACCGCTTATTTATTGGGTGGAGGAGGAGGAATACCGCCGTCTCTGCCTCCGTGCAAGAGAGCAGTGCGCTGGTTGTTCCGCCAGGGATGGTGGGAGGAGATGCGTGGGCCCAGGTATACTATGGTGGGTCAGGTGGGCATCCTTATCCAGGGGCAGCTCTTCCATACCAACCTGACTGTCTTCATGCAGGTATCATTTTCTTCACACACTATATATATATTTAGTACAGTATATTTTGCATATTTGCAAGCCCTGTCTTCTTTTTTTTTTTCTCAATTAGTTTAATATGTACATATTTTAGTTATGTTTGTATATATAAGTAACTATCTTTAATTTCCCCTCTCTCTGTCGATTTGTGTGAAGATTAACTAGTACATTTCCACAGACACGGGAGATAATTTGATATTTGATGTTATTATTTTTATGATAAATGGCATGCTCAAATTATTGAGTGCCGTAGCCAAAAATGAAAATTGCAGCAACTTTGATATTTTTTTAATGTTACAAATTCAACTTAACGGTGATCTTAGAGAGAATCCCTTTCTCTCTCCCTCTCTTCCTTTTTTAATTTGATGGCCATGTTGCAAAAGAGTTGTACATTTTGTCACATTGCAGAAAGTTTGTTTCGTAGGTTTCTAACAAAGATGATGACATTACTAGTAGTATATTGTAACAAGTGGCACTGGCTACTAGCTAGCTAGCTGCATATATATATA